TGAACAAGGCAGGATCACTAGGTACTATTTTAGAGACCGTTCACACTAGAATAACAGGATAACCCTTCCGTGCGGGTTTCCCACACCGAATTTAGAATGCCCTTGCGATCTGCAACAGGTGTCAGTGCAAAGTTGTTGACACCCAACATCGCAAAAGCAGTACGTTTGCCCGCACCAGATCACATGGTACAAAAGTACCATGTGATCAGGATGCAGTGCGTTTCCAAAAGTAGTGTATGTGGTGTGGTGTGATTTTTAGCACATTCAAAATGAATGAATGAATGAATTGGATAAGAACATGCAGTGAATTCCTGTGCTACTCAAGGTGTGAATGGGCCCTTACAAAAAGCTGCAGATTTAAAAATACTGAAAATTATTTTTTAAATGAAATTAACATATTAAGTGTTTTAGTGATTGGTTTTCCATCTACTGTACTAAATCTCAGCTCCAGACAAAGTTTTTTTCCTTTCTAGATAGCTCCTCTGGGAAGTGAAAACAAATGCCTTTGATGGTTGGAAATGCTTACATTCAAATTTTAATCTTGAAGGTTACCTAAACCCCAAAACTCCCCAAAATGTAATATATTGCAGCTAACCAATCATTGGATGTGGTAGTTGTATTAGCTTTTTTATTTCTTTATTTTCATGTGGTGATCAGCTAGTAACAAACCTGTGTCAGACTGGCTACATTCATTCCTCCACTGTGTCTATGGAGGAGCAATGTAGCCACTTTTGGACAGCGGCATTGTCAATCAGTGGAGAGGGTAGTGCTAGACTGTTAGATTTAGAGGGACTTTATATAAGAGACTTACAATTTAAAGCTGAACTCCAGCTAAAAGTTATTATGTCCCGTTCACATTTGGGTGATTAGGAATCACGGGCAGAATCGGCATAATTCTGCTTGCAATTCCAAATCTTAGCAAAATAAGTGAAATGCGTTTGGATGCCATTCATTCTGAATGGCACCCCAAACATGATGTGATTTTGCCACGATTGTCATGCAGCAAAACGCACATGTAAAATCTCCCCTGAGAACAAAATTTCATCCTTGAGCTTCTTTACTGTGGCAAACATGCATGGGGTAGCCCATTCAAGTGAATGGGCTGCCCTATGTGTGACAAGAAGAAACACATATGAAATGTGCTTTTAAAATCGCGATATGTGGCGATATGTGAACGAGGCCTTAGGCAGTTACAGCAATAGTTTTTTTTTTTCTTTTAGAATAAAGGTTCCATAAGTGAATAAAAGATGATCATTGTAAGCACCCCTGTCAGTGTTAAATAGTTTACTCAACCCTTTAACTGTCACCTTTGCTGGGCAGCCTGGTTTTTACAGGTAATAAAAATCCTAAAGTTTAATCCTTATTTTTACTGAAAGTGGAACTTCACTCTATTAACCAACATGGACTATTTTTAATCCCTATGCTGCTAGCATTAGTAAATGGATAGAAAAAGTATAGAATATTTACTTATTTTAAACTTTTTTTTTACATTTCTTCAGTTACTTCCTGGTTTTCATGCCCAGGCAAATGATGTCATACATCCCAGGAGTCTTCAGGAGGGGAGAGGGGGTTCTTAGCTCAGCTAATGCCTGAGCTAAGGGCAGATGGATTTCACAGAGTAAAATGATACATGACTCATCTGCCCTTACTCAAGATGACCACTGCCAGAAATTCCAGGGGTGCTTTTCAATGATTTCTCAGAAAAATAAAGCATGGAGACATGGATGGATGGGTGAGTTTGCTTTGAATATTAAAAATGAATGACATAGCATTTTTGGTTTGTGGTGCTGAGATGCTGTGCAGTTCCACTTTAATGTGATTTTGAATGTTTTAAAATTTAGATGTTTGACCTGTTTTACCTGTTTTAGCTGATTCCTCATAGACTTTACATTGTGGATGTAGTTACTAAATCTTTCTTTAATATCTTGGATTTGAACCTTCTCTGAACTGCGACGTGCCGTTTCTGCAGCAGGCGAGGGTCCCTCTGCCAGTTGGGATCATTCTTGTTTTTCTGAAAAAAGAACTTGATTTTAGAATAGTTCAACAGTATACTAAAGCACATTAAAGGGAAGTATAACTAGCACAGTCTTGAAGAATTAAAATTTCGGGTGATAATACATAATCATAGATCATGCTAGGAGTGCTACAATATTATCACACCTAAACAGGACTTAAAGTGTAGGGAATGGTTAGAATGCTGGTCAAGTATTTTTCTCTGTCTATCTCAATGTGGAGATTTCCCTACACTTCCTGTATCAGAGACAGGCATGAGAGGAAATCTGTCTAACCTGAGGGTGCCACAAGGACTGGCAATGCACAGGGAGTCACTGGGCACAATGGAGTCACTAAATGACACAAGGATTGAAGGCACACTGGGAGTCACTGGGCACACTGGAGTAACTAGATGACACAGGGACAAAAGGCACACTTGGAGTTACTGGGCACACTAGGGTTAATAGATGACACAGGGACTGGAGGCACACTGGGAGAAACTGGGCACTCTGGAGTCACTAGATGACACAGGGACCGAAGGCACACTGGGAGTCACTGGGCACACTGGGGTTAATAGATGGCAGGGACTGGAGGCACACTGGGAGCCACTGGGCACACTGCGGTTAATAGATGACATGGGCACTGGAGGTACACTGGGATTCATTGGGCACAATGGGACTGGGGGCACACTGGATGGAAATTACTGGGCGCACTGGGGAACAGGGACTGGGGGCACACTGGATGGAAATTACTGGGCACACTGGGGAACAGGGACTGGGGGCACACTGGATGGAAATTACTGGGCGCACTGGGGAACAGGGACTGGGAGCACACTGGATGGAAATTACTGGGCGCACTGGGGAACAGGGACTGAGGGCACACTGGATGGAAATTACTGGGCGCATTGGGGAACAGGGACTGGGGGCACACTGGATGGAAATTACTGGGCGCACTGGGGAACAGGGACTGGGGGCACACTGGATGGAAATTACTGGGGGGGCACTGGGGGAACACTGGATGGAAATTACTGGGGGGGCAGGAACTGGGGGCACACTGGATGGAAATTACTGGGCGCACTGGGGAACAGGAACTGGGGGCACACTGGATGGAAATTACTGGGGCGCACTGGGGGAACAGGGACTGGGGGCACACTGGATGGAAATTACTGCCCTGGGGCGGCACACTGGGGAACAGGAACTGGGGGCACACTGGATGGAAATTACTGGGCACACTGGGGAACAGGGACTGGGGGCACACTGGATGGAAATTACTGGGCACACTGGGGAACAGGGACTGGGGGCACACTGGATGGAATTTACTGGGTGCACTGGGGAACAGGGGGCACACTGGATGGAAATTACTGGGCACACTGGGGAACAGGGACTGGGGGCACACTGGATGGAAATTACAGGGGGGCACTGGGGAACAGGGACTGGGGGCATACTGGATGGAAATTACTGGGCGCACTGGGGAACAAGGACTGGGGGCGCACACTTGGAGAAAAAGAGTACCCTTGGGAATATCGATCAGTACTACAGTGAGGGAGGATCGGCTGAAGTGAAGCATCATCCTGTTTGAACGCTGGTGGGCTGAGCGTCTGTTTGCAAATTAGGGTGGTGCCCATAAGCAGAGCTGTCTCCTGATTGGCCAGACCACTAGCGCTCCGGGTGTTAGTGGAAGTGTCTGTGGCTGTGCACCGGAGAGGAGACACACTGCTGGATCCCAGGAGAGATGAACAGAATCTCTTGTTAGAATCTGTCATCGGAACAGGTATTAGAAGATTTCCAATCGCTTTCTATGCCAGTCACAATGAACAGGACTTTTAGAATGGGTGAATCTCCCTAGTGGGGACACAGGCAGCAATAAAAGCCTGGCCATTCCCTGAATCAATAAAAGTTAAAGGTTGACTCCACTTTTGTGGGAAAAAAATTAGCAAAAAAAAAGTCAAATGCAATTGCGACACAAGTCATATTGTAATTAAATGTTATTAAAAATTACCTTTCCTTTCCAATCTGCAGCTCTGTCATTTTCAAGTGCAATGCAATATGGCTGCCTGGAGGTATTCTGTACACAGATGGTATACAGACCGCCCCCTAGAAATGTAATTTCCTGCTTGTGTGACTGGCTTACTGATTTTCATTGTCATTTTTGGTGAGATACTCTCAAACGGAGATCACGTCTAAAGGGATGCAGACCCTGCAAGTTTACTCATTAGAACCCTGCAGGTGCAGCAGCTGACTGATAATTATAAAATCACTCCCATACAGATTCACTTTCCATATGGACACCGACAAACAAACAGCTGTGTCTTCAGAATAGCAAAAGGCAGGAATCTGCAACAAAGTTTGTTAAAATGCTTGCAATGTACATAGATCACCCCGAGGGGAATGTTTTTTTCTCAACAAAAATAGAGTTACTCACCACTTGCCAACCATGCTATAGCCAAATGATGGCTACAGCGCGGTTGTCCAGTTCTGGGAGGGCGTCATATGACGTCCTCCCAGAACGTGCCCTCCCACGCATGGGGGGGAGAGATGTGATCTGAAGGAGGCAGAGGACACAGCATTGGAGAAGGGTACAGATCACTGCTGTGGAGGTTACAGGACATTACTGTGACACAGTAATTTTTATTGGGAGCTTGATTTTATTTTTTTAAAGGGTGCCACCTCATACACCCCCCTTCCTCCCTGGGGATCTTTGCTTTCCTCCATGTTGTCCAGGTAGATCTCAACCTCTGAAAGGTTGCCGACCCCTGCTGTAGAATGTATGATTTACATTACTTCTAAGGCTAACATTGGCTAAATGGTTAGCACTTCTGCCTGACAGTACTAGGGTTGTTGGTTCAGATCCCAGCCACGGCACCACCTCCCTGGAGTTTGCATGTTCTCCCTGTGACTGCGTGGGTTTCCTCTGTGTACTCTGGTTTCCTCCCACACTCCAAAGACATGCTGGTAGGTTAATTGGATCCTGTCTAATTTGGCCCTAGTATGTGTACACTGTATGTATGAATGTAAGTTAGGGACCTTAGATTGTACACCTCTTGAGGGTTAGGGACTGATGTGAATATGTAATATATATATGTAAAGTGCTGCATAAATTGACAGTGCTGTATAAGCAGGGGTGGACTGACAACTCATGGGGCCCCTGGGCAATAGGGGATCATGGGACCCCTGTGTCCTTGCCCAAACTCAAAAAAACCTATGAAAAAGGTACCAGGAGCATCTCATGGGGCCCCCTACTGACCCTGGGCCCTCGGGCAGTGCCCGAGTTTCCAAATGGTCAGTCTGCCCCTGTGTGCATGAAATCAATAAATATTCACCAAGAGAGGGGGCAGCAAGATATTAGTCGTTGCTTGCTTCTTAAGACCCTCCACCATCTTCTCCCCAGTTCAAGCAAAAAACATAAAAGGCGCACACCTGTTTGTTCCAAATTCCCCTTAAAATGATTGCTTCTTGGTACTATGTTAGGCAATCCACAAGTGATGCAACTAAATCCACCATCACATACATTGTGCACTTCTAGGCTTCCTAAGGACTAGCATAGGGGCTCGTGTAGACAAGTGTTGTTTTCCTGGGTTTGACATGCACTTGAAATGAGCGTCAAACACAAGCTGCAGAATCCCTTTTACCTCAATGACGCAGTGTGGATGATGTTCAGAGACCGTTTTTGACCTGCTATGCTTTGCATTTCTTAGACGCCACATTTCTTATTAACCTCTCTAGTGGTCTGATTATGTCCATATTTCTGTGCTCAAAGCGGTACATTTTTTTGCATGGAAATATGTATTTTTTTTATTGTAGGCCTGTAATTTTTAGGAATAACTCACTGAAATCTGTCTGAACAAGAGTCTAGTAAACATCCCGGGTATAATAAAACTTGAAACCCAAAATCATAAATTATAATTTAATAAATAATCATAAAAAATAATAATATAATTATAAATTTAATTCAATAATGTAATCAAACCAAAAACACTGAAATTTGAAATATAGCGCCAAGTTCGCACATCACTGAGCAAAGTCGCAAAATCGTTTTCAGTGTCTGATGACGAATTTCCCCACGAATCATTATCACTCAATTCTGCAAGTGATTCTAATTTACTATCGCTGTTCTCTAGCTGGTCTAAAAACCGCTTTTGACCTAAAGGGACGCTTTTTGGACGCCATGGACATTTCTCAGTTTCCAGGCCGAAAGAACAGTCAAAATGCAGGCAGGGCACAGGACAAAGCACTAGGGACAAAATGTATGTGAAATGGTTTGATACAGTAATGTTTTACTATGTGATTTTAGTGATTTTAGTGAATATCACTTTTTGTCATTTTCAAATTTCCTGCCGTTCTGTCCCTGTACGTCCCGACGTCGCAGGGAAGAGAACCCAGAAGACAGATGCCGGCATCCGCCGGATTACATTGCCAGGGACACTGCAGGAGGGATATTGCAGGAGCGCAGGACAAGGTAAGTGATCGAGGGATCGTGGAGCAGCGCCACATGGTAAGCCCGAGTGTAGCTTGGGGTTACCGCTTGTGATACTGAAACTTTACCCCGAGCTACACTCAGGAATTCCGCCAGGGAGGCTACGGCCCATTGGAAACAGGAGTAAAAGACACCATGTTTTTTTTAGGCCTCATTCACATGGCCATAAAAAAAACATTGTTACAACCAGGGGCGGACTGACCATTTGGAAACTCAGGCACTGCCCGAGGGCCTGGGGTCAGTAGGGGGCCCCATGAAATGCCCCTGGTACCTTTTTCATAAGCTTTTTTGAGTTTGGCCAAGGACACAGGGGCCCCATGATCCCCTATTGCCCGGGGGCCCCATGAGTTGTCAGTCCACCCCTGGTTACAACCATTTTTTATCTATGGATCTGAATGCAGCTCCATTGTTTTCAACAGAGACATTCACACAGGTGAGTTACCATGCACTGTGTTCCGGTCCATAATCAAAAATCCAACAATCTGTGTTTGAAGGCATGTGAACCATGGCAATTTTTACGCATTAAAAATCTAATCTATTTACTGATCATTATGCAGGCTACTTTCACACTGATCCATGGCAAAAATGCATATGCATTTTTGCTGTATTTTTACCGCATTTGTTTAAAAGACGTGACTCAAAAAATAAGCCAAAAACGCAATGCAGGTGCATTTTCGATGCGCTTTTGATGCGTTTTTGGCACATTTCTATTCATTTCAATGGGGAGTGGTGTTTTTGGTGGGGTTTTTTTACCACACCAAAACTGCACCAAACATTCAGCAAGTGGGATTTTAAAAAACACACCGAACCTGCAACGGATCAGTGTGCAGAGTTCCATAGGAATACATTGTCACACATTTTCCTTTATTAACACAGAAGCGGAAGAAAAATGGATCAGTGTGAAAGCAGCTTTATTGCCTTTATAAATTAGGAAATATTTTTATGGTTGTGTTATGTACATGTGAATGAGTCTTTAGGCAAGCCATACATTATACTTTTTTTTCATTTAACCAATGAATGAAATAAAATGTGCCGATTCTCACATCCACACATTTAAAGTGGATGAGGGAACCACTGCCTCTGTGCTATTGTGTTCTGGTGGCAGGGAACCTTCCTTGCCTTGAGAATACAATAAGCAGCGCAGTCTGTGCACAGTCCCAAACATATCCTTGGTGCTGTGTCTAGAACAATGCACACAGCTGCGTAAAGATCAGTAATACAGCGATGAGTACAGAACCATACAATAAAAATTACAATTTTTACATTTGAGTTTCATGCTTATACTGCATCACTGGCAATTAGAAGAGAATGAACAATTTTACACACATTTACCCATATGCACTTTTACATGCCTATACATGTGTACACGATATGGCTTTACGGAACATTTTACCTGGGATCTTTCTGTCAACAAGATCCTTAGTATAAACATCAGTAAATGATTATGTCTGCATTTGTTGTATGTATTATACGTTTGCGTTGAAGGCAAGAGGCCAAACGCAGCCTTTCGCTCTGATTTGCCTTCCAGTTTATGCGTTTGAGCGTCATCACATTCCAATTCAAAACCAGTGTTTACCATCAACACCCATGTACACAACGTGTAAAAATATCATGTTTGCTTTTCACTGATTTTGAGACTTACATGTCACTATCCAGTTGTCGGCACCCTACAGTTACACAGAACAGAACACATTACTTACTGTCTGGAAGATGCCCAGATTGGTCCTGCGTGACTTTGGTTTCTAGGAAATCTCAGTAATATGTGAATCAGATTAGTGAGCTCTCATTTCACTCTGTTTCCCCCGGGACCCAGGGTTTGTTGACAGTTGCTGCTGGCGACAGGGGACCATAGATTACAATGTGAGGCGGAGCCAGTGACACAAAGGTGCAGGTTTCAGGCGAGCTGTCAGTAATCACTTTCATTATTCGGTTGGCTGTGTGTTCAGGGCAGGACTGTGAACACACAAGAACTATGATCACAGGTCGATGTGTTGTGTTTTTGTCTCTTTTTAGATACACGTGGCAATCTGATAGAGCGATCAAACTTTCCATTCCAATGCAGGTGAAGACATACCACAGTGGTTTTGATTAAGCGCAAAGAGATTGAACGTGATGGAAAAAAAACAAATGCATTCATTATAATGGACAGTATTTTTCCTGTTTTGATTCTCTTTCACTTCAATATTTTATTAAACTGCATTGGTGTTGTTGACATAATTCCAGAAAATGTGATGGTCTTGTATTATTATTATTATTATTATTATTAATATTATTATTATTATACAGGACTTATATAGCGCTGCCAGTTTGCGCAGCGCTTTACATTATGGAGGGAGACAGCAAAGTAACAATACAGTTTAATACAAGAGGGATTAGAGGGCCCTACTCCTTGGAGCTTACAATCTAGGAGGGAGGGGATAGTGGTACAAAAGGTAATTAGTTTGTGGGGGATGGAGTGGTAGGAAGAGTAGAGGATTCCAGTACTAGCTGGGGTCAGGGTAGGCTTCCCTGAATAGATTGGTTTTCAGAGTGCGCGATAGTCTGATAGATTGGGGTAGGGAGTTCCAGAGGATGGGTGAAGCCCTTGAAAAATCCTGGAGATGAGCATGGGAGAAGGAGACAAGGAAGCTAGAGAGTAGAAGGTCTTGCGAGGAGCAGAGAGTACGGTTTGGGTGGTATTTAGAGACAAGGTCGGTGATGTAATTTGGGGCAGAGTTATGAATGGCTTTATACATCAGTGTTAGTGTTTTGAATTTTATCCGTTGGGCAATTGGAAGCCAGTGGAGGGATTGGCAGAGAGGGGTGGCAGATACAGAACGGTTAGTAAGGTGAATGAGTCTGGCAGCAGCATTCATGATGGACTGGAGTGGGGATAGCCTGCGATGAGGTAGGCCAATGAGGAGGGAGTTACAGTAGTCAAGGCGTGATATAATAAGAGAGTGAATGAGTTGCTTAGTGATATGGAACTAAGGTGGCCATAGATGGATCGGATCTAACCCGGTTTAGCAGGGGCCTGCCAAGATTCGATCCATCTATGGACAGGTTGATTGTACCCAAGTTGATTGATGGACAACCAGAATGGCGGATTTTTAGCATTTTAGCATGCGATTATTAGCAGCAGCTATAGCAATAATTATTGTGTTCTTCCAGCAGGGATGGCTCCCTGCACACCCCTTTCCCCCGCCTGGAGCACACAACAGTCAGTGTTGTTAGGGGAATAGAGGAATTTTCTTTCCTGCAACCCGTGGTGGCAAGAAAGAAAATTGCATATTCTTTGGCCAGCCGTAGCCTCTATTTGCACTTAGCATGAGCATAGTAGACGATTTAGAGACTCCCATTTAAGTCTATGGGGTCATGAACATGAGATTCTGCCCCAAAGAAGCTTGTGTTACTTTCTGAGCTTCATATGACAGCCAACATGCAATGCAATGCTCAGGTCCATGAGTACAATGGGATTCTTCATCTTGAGCACTGTTGCCCTCACACAATGAAACGCTCAGGTGTGAGTGAGCCAAAGTATTGAACTGGAACCCGGCATACCGGCTTTCCATTAACTGCAATAAAAAACCTAACAAAGGTTCCAGCGCTCCCCCCCACTCTATCAAAAAACAATAAAAAATATGGCCATACATA